AGCTTTTAGTTTGAAGGTTAGGTTTAGAATTTAGTTGAGGATTAGTTTTGGAGTTTAGGTTGAGGATTAGTTTTGGAGTTTAGGTTGAGGATTAGTTTTGGAGTTTAGGTTGAGGATTAGTTTTGGAGTTTAGGTTGAGGATTAGTTTTGGAGTTTAGGTTGAGGATTAGTGTTGGAGTTTAGGTTGAGGGTTAGGTTTAGAATTTAGGTTGAGGATTAGTGTTGGAGTTTAGGTTGAGGGTTAGGTTTAGAATTTAGGTTGAGGATTAGTGTTGGAGTTTAGGTTGAAGGTTAGGTTTAGAATTTAGGTTGAGGATTAGTGTTGGAGTTTAGGTTGAGGGTTAGGTTTAGAATTTAGGTTGAGGATTAGTGTTGGAGTTTAGGTTGAAGGTTAGGTTTAGAATTTAGGTTGAGGATTAGTTTTGGAGTTTAGGTTGAGGATTAGTGTTGGAGTTTTAGTTTGAGCATTAGGTTTAAAGCATAAGTTGAGGGTAAAATGGTAGATTTTAGGTTGAGTGTTAGGTTTATAGTTTAATTTCAGAGTTGGGTTTAAAATTTAGGTTGATGATTAGTGTTAGAATTTAGGTTGAGGGCTAGATTTAAAACTTAGGTTGAAAGTAAAAAGGTAGAGTTAAGGATAGAGAATAAGGTTAGTGTTTAGATTAACCTCCCTAGCGGTCTGATTATGTCCATATTTCTGTGCTTAGGCGGTGTTCCCGAGTGTAGCTCGGGGTAGAATTTTCTATACCAAGAACGGTAACCCCGAGCTACACTTTACTATGCAGCGTTCTCTGGGGTCCCTGCAGCACTTACCTTGTCCTTCGCTCCCAACGATGGGTCCCCTGCAGTGTCCCCGTCCATCTGCTCCGGTGGATGCCGCATCTGACTTCCGTGTTCCGGTCCCCGTGACGTCGGAACGTTCGGAATGCGGCGGAACCGGCGGGAAATTTGAAATTTTTAAAAAATGACATTTTTGCTGTCATTGCTTTTCACTGCATTTCACATACATTGTGTCCCCGAGTGCTTTGTCCGGCGCCCTGCCTGCATTTTGACTGTTCTTTCTGCCTGGAAACTTAGAAAAGTCCATGGCGGCCAAAAAGCATCCCTTTACATCAAAAGCGGTTTTAGAACAGCGATAGTAAATCAGAACCACTTGCAGAATTTGAGTGATAATGATTTGTGGGGAAATTCGTCATCAGACACTGAAAACGATTTTGCGACTTTGCTCAGCGATGTTCGAATTTGCCTCTGTATTTCAAATTTCAGTGTTTTTGGTTTGATTATATTATTGAATTAAATTTATTATTATTATATTATTATTTTTTATGATTATTTATTAAATTATAATTTATGATTTCGTGTTTCAAGTTTTATCATATCCGGAATGTTTAATAGACTCTTTTTTCGGATAGATTTCAGTGAGTTATTCCTAAAAATTACAGCCTACAATTAAAAACTACATATTTTCCATGCAAAAAAATGGTACCAGCTTTCAGCACAAAATTCCTGACATGATCATACCGCCAGGGAGGTTAAAGCGGTACATTTTTTTGCATGGAAATATGTTTTTTTTTTTTTATTGTAGGCCTGTAATTTTTAGGAATAACTCACTGAAATCTGTCTGAACAAGAGTCTAGTAAACATCCCGGGTAGGATAAAACTTGTAACACGAAATCATAAATTATAATTTAATAAATAACCATAAAAAATAATAATATAATAATAATAAATTTTAATTCAATAATATAATCAAACCAAAAACACTGAAATGTGAAATATAGCGCCAAGTTCGCACATCGCTAAGCAAAGTCGCAGAATCGTTTTCAGTGTCTGATGACGAATTTCCCCCACCAATCATTATCACTCAATTCTGCAAGTGGTTCTGATTTACTATCGCTGTTCTCTAGCCGGTCTAAAACCGCTTTTGACCTAAAGGGACGCTTTTTGGACGCCATGGATGTTTCTCAGTTTCAGGCAGAAAGAACAGTAAAAATGCAGGCAGGGCGCCGCACAAAGCACTCGGGACACAATGTATGTGAAATGGGTTGATACAGGAATGTTATACTATGAGATTTTAGTGAATGTCACTTTTTGTCATTTTCAAATTTCCCGCTGTTCCGTCCCCCGTACGTCCCGACGTTGCAGGGGACGGAACCCAGATGACAGATGCCGGCATCCGCCGGATTACATTGCTGGGGACACTGCAGGAGGGACATTGAGGGAGCGCAGGACAAGGTAAGTGATTGAGGGACCGCAGATCAGCAACGCATGGTATTCCCGAGTGTAGCTCAGGGTTACCGCTTGTGGCACTGAAACTTTACCCCGAGCTACACTCGGGAATACCTCCAGGGAGGTTAAGGGTTAGGTTTAGAATTTCAGGTTGAGAATTAGTATTAGTGTTTAGGTTGAGTGTTAGAGATGAGGGTTAGGTTTAAAGCTTAGGTTAAGGGCAGAGAATAGTTTAGGTTAAAGAATAAATTTAGCGTTTAGGTTGAGAGTTAGACTTCGAGTTTAATTTCAGAGCTAGGTTTAGAATTCAGGTTGGGGATTAGTGTTAGGGTTTATGTTGAATGTCAGAGTTTAGGTTGAGTGTTTGGATGAAGCTGAGGTTGGAGCTAAAGGGTACAGCCTAGGTTAAAGGTTAGGTTTAGAATTTAGTGTGAGAGTTAGGTTTAGAACTTAGGTTCAGGATTAGTGATGGGCCGAACACCCCTCTGTTCGGTTCGCAGATGAACATCCGAACCTACAGGATGTTCGAACACGAACCGAACATGAGCGGTATCTTACCATATCTGAATATGTGGTAAGATACGGCTCAGTTACTAAAATCCGGCACGAGTTCTATGATGAAGCCATGCGGTATTTTAGTAGTGAAACATTCATTCATGTTTCTGCTGTCAGTGGGGTTCCCCACTGACAACTGAATGTCAAAAGAATTGTCAGCATTGCCCAAAAATTAAAAAAATTCTTTAAAAAATGATGTTGGGTCCCCCCTCCCATCCATACCAAGCCCTTCAGGTCGGGTATGGATTTTAAGGAGAAACCCCCCCCCCCCCTGCCAAAATTAAAAGAAAAATGTCATGGGGGTCCCCCCCAAAATCTATACCAGACCCTTGTCCGAGTATGCAACCTGACGGGTCAAGAATGGAGGGGGACGAGCAAGCGGCCCCCTCCCTCCTGAACCATATCAGGCCACATGCCCTCAACATGGGGGTGCTTTGGAGATCCCCCTCAAAGTACCTTGTCCCCATCAACAAGGCCTTCTTCCTCACAACTGTGGCCTGTGGTTGTGGGGGTCTTATCAGAATCTGGAAGTCCCCTTTAACAAAGGGGCCCCCAGATTCCAACCCCCCCCCCATGTAAATGAGTATGCCGTACTGCTACCCATTCACAAAAAAAAAGTATAGTGTAAAAAAACTTGGTGGTCAGGTGCATTGCTTTGACCAATCACAATGCGCTGTCAGGGCACAGTGCATCGTGGGGTACGACGGGAGCCATTACCATTCGTGTGTTCAGCAAATACCCAAATGTCCCATGTTGGACTCAAACATGCAGCCCATCCCTATTCAGGATCAGTGTTAGGGTTGAGGTTGAGTGTTAGTGTTTACGTCTAGCGTTAGGTTGAGGGTAAAGGGTAGAGTTTTTAGGTTAATGAATGAGGCTAAATTTAGGTGGAGGTTGTGGGTAAAGATTTTTTAGTAAAAGGTTAGGATAGAATTTAGGTTGAGGATTAGCATTAGAGTTTAAAGCGGAGCTCCACCCAAAAGGGGAAGTTCCGCTTTAAGGACTGCTCCCCCCGCTTCCCATTAAGGATTTGCACCTTTGGTGGGCAGGGGGGGGGGGGAGCGGGTACCTGAATTTGACAGGTACCCACTCCCGGTCCGATCGCCTAGGCGATCGGAAATGGAAGGTGTCCTCGCTCCATCCCTGTAGTCTTTTGGGACACGTGACGGGTCCCAGAAGACTACAGGACCATTCATGAAGGGCAGCGCGCTGCTCACGCATGCGCAGTGGGTACCCGGCTGTGAAGCCGCAAGCTGTCACAGCCGGGTGCCCACACTGAAGATGCCGGCCTCCTGGAATACAGGACGGCTGGTGAAATGAGGGACAGGTGAGTGGCTGTTTTTTAAAAGTCAGCAGTTACAGATTTTTTTTATTTTTTGACAGGGTGAGTGGAACTCCGGTTTAAGGTTCGGTATAAAGTGTAGGTTGAAGGTAAAGGGTAGAATTCGGGTTGAGGGTTAGGTTTACCTTTTAAGTTGAGGACTAATATAGAGTTTAAGTTGAAGGCCAAGGTTACAGTTTTTAGTGTTGAGAGTTAGGGTTGAAGTTTAGGATGAGTGTTGGGTTTAGAATTTAGGTTGAGGATTAAGTTCAACTTTTAGGTTTGGGGGGGGTTACAGTTTTTAAGTTGTGGGTTAGGCTTAGAGCTTACACTAAGGGTATAGGGTAGAGTTAAGGTTAAGCAATACGATTAAAGTTTAGGTGGAGGTTGAGGATAAGGGCTCATGTACACTGCAGCTGATAAACTCAAGTTTATGAGCTGTTCTGCGTTTTTTTCAGCAGCCCCTGAACTCTCCCTAATGTTTTCCTATATGTCCATGTACACATCGTCGTTAACAGTCATTTACAGGCATTTGAGTTTACGGTTGTTTTTTTGAACGCAGAAAACTTGCGGTCAGCAGTCGATTTTATCAGCGTTTCAAATGCAAAATGCTTGTAAACGCGACAAATCGCATTTATAAACGTTTGCGTTTGAACATTTTTTTTAACTCTTCCAGTTCCCGATGCTGTCCAGAGCCTTTTTTCATCATGAAAAATGCATGCAAAGCGTTTTCAAGGTAGTCAGATGGACAAAACACCTTTCCCACCCTTGGAAACAAAAGATATGTTAATGACTAGAGATGAGCGAATCGAACCTGGCGAAGTGGAATTCGTTTCGAATATTAGGAAAAAATTCGATTTGCGTTGAATCCGAATATTAGCAAACTTCGGATGCACGAATCGAATTTTCCCCGATCCGCCGATTTTCATCCCTTCTACAGCCGGCAAAAAGTGTCCCTGCAGAGAGCTCCGCTATTTCTGACAGTTCTCTGACAGTTCCTTCACATTTACAGCAGTTGAAACATTGTATCTATTTGTTTCCATTTAGGATACAGATGTTTTTATTCGGAAACAAATAGATACAATGTTTCAACTGCTGTAAATGTGAAGGAACTGTCAGAGAACTGTCAGAAATAGTGGAGCTCTCTGCAGATATACTTTTTGCTGGAATGGAATTCTTCTTCATCCTCATCCTACTTCTTCTTCTTCATCCTCATCCTTCTTCTTCTTCTTCATCCTCATCCTACTTCTTCTTCTTCTTCTTCATCCTCATCCTACTTCTTCTTCTTCTTCATCCTCATCCTACTTCTTCTTCTTCTTCTTCATCCTCATCCTACTTCTTCTTCTTCTTCCTCCTCATCCTACTTCTTCTTCTTCTTCTTCATCCTCATCCTACTTCTTCTTCTTCTTCTTCATCCTCATCCTACTTCTTCTTCTTCTTCTTCTTCTTCTTCCTCATCCTTCTTCTTCTTCTTCTTCTTCTTCTTCTTCCTCATCCTACTTCTTCTTCTTCTTCTTCTTCTTCTTCATCCTCATCCTACTTCTTCTTCTTCTTCTTCATCCTCATCCTTCTTCTTCTTCTTCTTCTTCTTCTTCATCCTCATCCTACTTCTTCTTCTTCTTCTTCATCCTCATCCTACTTCTTCTTCTTCTTCTTCTTCTTCTTCATCCTCATCCTACTTCTTCTTCTTCATCCTCATCCTCTTCTTCTTCTTCTTCTTCTTCTTCTTCTTGCCATGGGCCCCTGTACCGCCTCCTCATGCTGCTGCCAGGTCCAGAGTGTGTCATGGGTCCCTGTACGGCCTCCCATTGCTGCTGTCTCCATCGCCACACTCTGCCATGTGCCACTTTCAGGTCTCCTCACACTGCTGGTGGGTTCCATTTTGTCATAGGGTGCTGTATGGCCTCCCATTGCTGCTGCCTCCACCGCCACACTGTGGCTCCACACTTCTGGTTTTGGCCCCATGACTGCCCAAATGAGTGAAGTGTGCGGTGATGACACTTCTAAGATCGACGGCACTCATCTGCATGTCATACTGACTGACAGTATTATTTCTCTTCCCCAGCAGACTCCAAGGGCATTTAAATTAAAGGTACAGTGTTCTGCACTAATATAAAAGGCTCTCTGAAGCCTAGAAACCCTTTTTATAAGTTAAAAATCGCAGCGAATAAATTCGCATCGAATCGAATTTATTCCACAAATTCGGCGAATCAGCCCGAATCGAATTTTTGAATAATTCGCTCATCTCTATTAATGACCATTCACACCTCAGTCCTCTCCCACCCTTGGAAACAAAAGATATGTTAATGACCATTCACACCTCAAATTCCTCATATAGACCCTCTGCCAGGTGACCATAATGACTCCCTCCACCAGACACCTTTCCCACCCTTGGAAACAAGAGAAATGTTAATGAGCAACTCACGCCTAAGCTAATCTCAACACATACTGCTGTCTCTGCTTCTACTCTCTGTATTTCTCTGAAACGGTCTGAAATAGTTAATAATTTATCACTTTTCAGTGCATTCTGGGTATTTGGGAGGTTCTACTGTGCTTATCTTTAAAAAACGCTTCTAAACGCAAACGCACATAAACGCGGTATGTAAACACGGCTAAACAGATGTTTTTTAACCTACGTTTTCCAGCAGTTTCCATCATTCAGAGGTGTCCAGTGTACATGGAGCCTAAAGGTTAACCTTTTCATAAAAGATTAAGCTTAGGTAAGGATCAGTACTAGATCTTAAGTTGAGGGTTAAAGTTAGAGTTTATGTTGAGGGGTAAAATGCATGCAAAGCAATAGTTTTTTTTTTTTGTTAATTACTTAGTAGATAAAATGGTGGGGGGAGTTAAAATCCCAAAACAGGTTATTTTTGCTGCCTGTGTCCAACTGGGGAGATTTTCCTTCACTTCCTGTTCTGGAAATAGAACAGAAAATAAGAGGGAAATCTCTCAAAAAGTGAACAAAATATATCAATCTTAGAAAGTTGTCAAAAGGACAAGTTACCCCATTGGAAGATTTTTCCTCAGCTCTTTCTCCGCGACTACTTTAAAATCATTCGATTTGCCACCACCTTCTGTCTTGGGGACAATAGTCTACAACAGAGGTGTCAAACTGGCGGCCCACCAGCTGTTGACAAACTACAAGTCCCATGAGGCATTGCAAGATTATTATTATTATTATACAGTATTTATATAGCACCAAAGGGTATGCTCAGCGCTGTACAGTAGCAAGGGGGACATAACATGAGACAAGACAGTAACAGTACACTACATGTGGGGTTCGAGGGCCCTGCTCTTTCGAGCTTACAATCTAGGAGGGAGGGGAGGGTGGCACAGGAGGAGATGGCTGTGGGGGATCGAATGGGGGGTGGAATGAAGGAGGTTGGTTGTGAGGTGAGTTCGGATGTTATGAAAGGTTGGGGTAGGCTTCCCTGAAGAGGAGGGTTTTCAGGGTGCGCCTGAAGGTGAGGAGGGTAGATGACATTCTGATGGATTGGGGTAGGGAGTTCCAGAGGATGGGGGAAGTCCTAGAGAAGTCCTGCAGTCGGGCGTGGGAGGAGGAGACCAGGGAGCTAGAGAGTAGGAGGTCTTGTGAGGAGCGGAGGGCACGGGTAGGGTAGTATCTGGGTATCAGGTCAGTTATGTAGTTCGGGGCGGCATTGTGAATGGCTTTGTAGGTCAGGGTTAGCAACTTGAACTTGATGCGTTGGGCAATCGGGAGCCATGTGAAGGGGAGTGGCAGAGAGGGGAGGCAGATGTGGAGCGCTTGGTGAGGTGGATGAGTCTGGCCGCTGAGTTTAGGATCGACTGGAGTGGGGATAGCGTTCGTTTGGGTAGGTCAGTGAGGAGGGAGTTGCAGTAGTCCAGGCGTGAGATGATGAGGGAGTGTACGAGTTGTTTGGTAGTGTCTGGGGTGAGGAATGTGCTTATCTTGGAGATGTTGCAGAGGTGGAGCCTGAAAGATCTAGATAGCAGTTGGATGTGGGGTAGGAAGGAGAGGTGGGAGTCCAGGGTGACACCCAGGACTTTGGCGTGTGGGGTGGGAGAGATGGTGGCGTTGTTTAGAGGTGATGGAGAGGATGGGGGGGGGGCACAGAGTGGGGGGGAAAGACCAGGAGCTCGGTTTTGAATAGGTTAAGTTTGAGGAAGTGGAGCGACATCCAGTCTGATATGTCGTTTAGGAGGTGGGCGATGCGGGGCAGAGAGTGAGGGGGTGAGGTGGGGGGTGGAGAGGTAGATTTGGGTGTCGTCGGCGTAGAGGTGGTAATTGAAGCCGTGGAGTGAATAAGTTTGCCAAGGGAGGAGGTATAGATGGAGAAGAGGAGGGCCCGAGGACAGAGCCTTGGGGGACCCCGACAGAGAGGGGGAGGGAGGGGGAGGGTGGCAGTGTTGTAGGTGACGCTGAAGGAGAGTTGGGAAAGGTAGGAGGCGAACCAGGAGAGGGCAGCGTCCTTGATGCCAAGGGAGTTCAGTTTGGCAAGGAGGAGAGGGTGGTCAACAGTGTCAAAGGCCGCAGAGAGGGTCAAGGAGCAGGAGGATAGAATAGTGGCCATTGGCTTTGGCAGTTAGCAGGCCATTGGTGATTTTAAGTAGGGCGGTTTCGGTGGAGTGCAGGGGGCGGAAGCCAGACTGTAGGGGGTCAAGGAGGTTGTTATCAGTGAGGTGGGCGCTTAGACGATTGTAGACCAGGCGCTCAAGGAGCTTGGAGGTGAAGGGCAACAAGGAGATGGGTCTAAGGTTGTTAAGGTTAGTGGGTCAAGGGAGGGTTTTTTGAGTATGGGGTTGATGTGTGCGTGCTTTAGAGGGGAGGGGAAGGTGCCTGTGGAAAGGGAGAGATTGAAGATGTGGGTGAGGGACTGGATGATGGAGGGGGGGGGTGACTGGAGGAGCTGTGAGGGGATAGGGTCCAGGGGGCAGGTGGTGAGGCGGGCTTCAGTGAAGACCTTAGAGACCTCCTCAGAGGTAGTTGGGGCTGAAGGAGCGGAGTGTTGGGGAGGTGATGGTGTGCGGGGCATTGGGTATAGTGGGGGGTAGTGCGGCTATGAGGTCGGGGGAGGGGGGGTACAGGGGTTGGAGGAGGGCGGGAGGTTGGGTGGAAAGGTGGATTGTTGACAAGATGACAGTTACAAGAATGACTCCCAAAGGCAGAGGCATGATGGACTTGTAGTTTCGCAACAGCTGGAGGCCGCCAGTTTGACACCCCTGGTCTACAAGACAAATAAAGAGGTGAATCTCCCCAGTCAGGACAAAGAAAGCAATAACAACTTTCTTCCTAATCTATCCAAACAAAATTGTCTTTACACACACTTTTAAGTAGAACTATGGGCAAAACCTGTTTTTCATTTTGGATAAAGTAAGAATGGGTTACAGCACTTGACTTTTTTTTTTTTTTGCCATCTGTGTCCCATTGGGGAGATTTACCTTCACTTCCTGTCCCATAGCCAGCCCGGGTCTCACCAATGTTCTATAAGATCTTGTCCCCAGCCCCGCTCTCCTTCCCCTTTTTCCTTCGTGGTGACCACAGGGAGGGAAGACAGTAGTTGTGCTGGGAGAAGGGGAGCGGGTGCCCTCTGGTGGTCAGAGGGTGGCAGTGCAAGTTGTGCTGCCTCACATGCTCATGGCCCAGCCCCCTGCAGGCCATGGACCAGCACTGGTCTGTGGCCTGGGGGTTGGGGACCCCTGTTCTAATCCATTTCCACTCTGTCCAAAACCAAGAATAAAAAAAATTGCCTTTGGTTCATCTTTAAGGTCATTTTTTAGGTTAAGGGTTAAGATTAATGTTTAGGCTGAGGGTTAGAGTTCTGGTTGTTGATTAGCTTCCATATCGGCAACAAAAGTTTGGTTGTTGATATATTGTGGTATAGGCTTATTTCTGCACAGGACTAATATTAGTTTTAGGTTAATGGTCATTGTAAGGTTATGTTTATGGTTTAGAGGTTTGATTGGAGGTTAGAGTTAAGGTTGAAGGTTTGGGTTAGAGTTGAGGCTGAGCTTTGAGGACAATGTGAAGGTTGAGGGCTGAAGTTGGACTGTAGGTTGAGGGTTAGCGTTTAGGTTGAAGGTTTGGGTCAGAGTTTAGGGTGAGGGTGTGGGACAGAATTAAGGTTGAGGGTTGAGGTTCAACTTTAGTTTGAGGGTTAGAGTTTAGGTTGAAGGTTTGGGTCATAGTCTAGGCCAGGAGTTTCCAAACTTCCTAAAGAAAGGGCTACTTTACTGTCCTTCAGACTTTGTGGGGGGGGGTGAAACTGTGTCCAGTGGGTGTAAACAATGCCCAATCTTTAGTATCTTTGGTATTAGGGGGAAAAATTGTTGGTGTCAGTAGTGCAATGGTGCCCCATTTCTGTAAGTTATGTCTGTGTAAGGAATTATGCCGCATTGTTGGTGCCAGTGGCAGGAATCGTGCCCTTTGTTGGTGTTAGTGACAGGAATAATGCCTTAGGGCTGGAAACAGGCAAACAAAG